TGTGTGTGCATGTGTGGTGCTGCCTCCTGTGTGTGTGCATGTGTGGTGCTGCCTCCTCTGTGAATGCATGTGTGGTGCAGAGCTCGTTGGGTGGCCCAGCTTTATGATGAAAAGATCTTCTATGAGACTACTCATCTTGAGTAGGCCTGTTCCCTTTTTTCTATGAGGCCATGGAAAGCAAAGTTCAATTTCACTCCATGAGTTAAATATCCTCAGGACAAGAGCTAGCTGCAGCACTCTTCTTATTTTTTGAGTTCTTGTCTACATTTAGTTCTTGGTCTTAAGCATTTCTTACATTCTTACTAGATCATCACTATATTGCAGGTTTAAAAAATACTTAAGCATTTATGGTTGTTTTGATGGATGGTCAGTATAGATACGTAGCCTGTCCATTGCTGAAACAGAAGTCTATTCATATACTCCAAAAAGACGGATAAGTCTGCCAAATAAGTTGACATCATCATAAATGATATGGCATACTTGAACTAGTATTCAAATATGTTCTGAATGGTTATACACTCAATTAAGTAGTTGGTCATATGGATACATTTTGTATTTTTCCTTTCAATTTTTAAATTAAAGTTTAAATTAAAATTATCTAAGTGAAAAATGCAGTATTTCTTATAAGAGGTGTTCTTCCATACTTACAATGTAGTCTTTCATTGAGATCATTAAGGGACTCTAGGATCTTCTGTTCTTCAGTTGATAGTGTACAGATGTTGAATTGTTGAGTTTTATTTAAAGGTAGATTTGATTTCTGTATCTGTTTGCTATTCAAGACAGTCAGAATCTCATCCTCCGGCAGTGATGCTTTCACTAAGTTTTCAGCCATCAAAAACTCAGAAGTACTATCTGAAACTACAGAAACTTACATCAGTTATTCTTTGATCCCCTTTTGTCTTTGAGATCAGCCCTTATACATACTTACACATACTTAACGGTCTGTATGTATTCATATTACAAACAGAAACCTAGTAAATATCTGCTACTTTGATTTCATCTATCAGGATTCTCTATCTAGCATTTTCCCATCCTTCATTTTTTAAAAAAGGATATTGAAAATGAAAGCAGTGAGTTAATAAAAATTCCCAGAGTATGACTTAACTAACGAAAAAAATATTTAATGTAGATAGTTTTTGTAATATGTTTATTATTCATTGGTCGTACAAAAAAGATGACAGAGACCGTTTTTATAATAGTAGTTATAATGAATTATAAAAAAGTAAGACACAAAAAAGCTTAAGGAAACATTAGAAACTTTGATGATCAGCTGAACAGAACTGACAGCCTAGAAACAGATCCAGTTAGATATAAGAACATGTGATCAAAGAAGCATCAAAGACTTGACAGAAGGGAAAGATGATTTTATAAATTAGTTGTTGCTTATAAAAGAATCAATTTGGGCTGGGTGCAGTGGCTCATGCCTCTAATCCCAGCACCTTGGAAGGCTGAGGCGGGTAGTTCACTTGAGGTCAGGAGTTCGAGAGCAGCCTGGCCAATGTGGTGAAACCTCGTCTCTACTAAAAATACAAAAATTAGCCAGGTGGGCCGGGCACGGTGGCTCAAGCCTGTAATCCCAGCACTTTGGGAGGCCGAGGCGGGCGGATCACGAGGTCAGGAGATCGAGACCATCCTGGCTGACACGGTGAA